ACAGACAGACAGACAGACAGACAGACAGACAGACAAACGTAACAGAGAGACGTGTTTGTACATGTTTTTATTGGTGTTAGAGAGATAGAAAAAGTGAGAGGTACTGAAAGAAAACAAAATGCTCTTGATTATACTCTAACGTGAAGAACATCTGCCTATAGATATATGTTGTGAGGAGTATAATATTATTATGTACTGGGTTTCTTGGTGTCAACCTATACTATATTATATCATAAAGTAAATGCGTTGTTCTAATAGCATTGGGTGGGTGGTTGGCGGTTGCTCTGGTGTGGTTTGCTTCTTCTTTCCTATCAAACATCTGCTGTCGTCCTTATCTTTCCTTCTTCTTTTTTATGTTTGTTACTTTCCTGTAACACCTCCAATCTTCTGGAGCTCATATGACCGAGCGCCATAAAACCTCTGCTAATACTAAATACTAATACTCCCCTCCTTCTTTTTTGTGTTTGTTACTCTCTTGTAACACCTCTAATCTTCGGCACTTATACGACCTTATTGTGCTGCAAGTGCCGTAAAACTCTTAATTAAAACTAAACTTAAATAATACCATTGAGTAGCAGCAAAATATAAAATAATTCAAAATTTTGCAAGCTCCTCCTTTATCAGAGGCAGGGGTTAGAGCATTTTTTTTCCTTCTTTTCCATCACTTGTGTGTTTGTTTGTTCATGTTTCTGTTGTGCACCGCGCGCGCGCGCGAGTGTGTGTGTGTGTGTGTGTGTGTGTGTGTGTGTGTGTGTGTGTGTGTGTGTGAGTTTGTTTGTTCGTGAGTTTGTTTGTTCGTGTGTGTGTGTTTTTTAAACATGCGTCAGCTTTCGATTCTAAGTTACAATACATTTTCCCAATTCTTTCCCACTTTCTTATAACTCAGAGGTAGCTGAAAATAGATTTTGGGAGGTTTCTAATTTCATTTGTTTTGTTAGCATAAAATATGATAAAAGCAGTGTCTTAACCTCTTTTAAATCCCCCGTAGGAAAATGTGAAGTTACTTATGCCTATTTATGTTTTGTTTCCCATATTCCTTTCTCTTGTAATGTCACTTACAAAATGGCTAGAAGCTTTTAGCTCGTTCTCGAGCTTTATGGCCATCATAAAAATCAGAACTAGCTAAAAGCGGATGCCGTTTTGTTGCGGTGCTCTGATGAACAGAGATTTTTTTTTCGTATAGATATTATAAACTTCACACGGTCATAAATTTGACCAAATTACATTTCATATTCATTGCCCTTAAGGCAGGCATAATAATATTATTATTATTATTATTATTAATGAACTTCACAGATTTCTTTGCCTGTCGATGAAGAGGCTACATGACAGTTCGCACTGAGAATTCTGCTCTTTGAGGGGAAACTACTCCAATCCCAAACAGGAGGGAA